AGCAGCCCGTGACAGCTGACTACACCCACCCAGGTACCTATTTTACTGCTATGTTAACAGGGGCATTAGGGTGAAAGAAAAACTCTGCCCATTGTTTCTCGCCGGCGCCTGGGATCGAACCCAGGACCACAGGATCACAAGTCCAGCGTGCTGTCCGCTCGGCCGACCGGCTCCCCTATGGTATCGCTGATTTATGGTATCGAATGTTGCTGGTATTGTGAAGCCACACTACATGAGAGAATATTGTAATATATAAAATGTGTCTTTTTCTATTCTCACTAATATAAACATGTTCTTTCTCTCCCACACACACAAGGGGCCTTGCGGCTGAGAGGACAGCGCTTGGGAATCGTAGTTCTAAAGGCTTCTAATTCCCGGCCGAGGCAAGAATAAATGGGCAGAGTTTCTTTAACCCTGATGCTCCTGTTTATCTAGCAGTAAATAGGTACCTGGGAGTTAGACATCTGCTACGGGCTGCTTCCTGGGGATGTGTGTGTGTTAGAAATATATGTAGTAGATATAATAGAGGAAAATAGATTATCTTCAAAATAGATAATAGAAAATAGTTAAAGAGCTCGAGTCTGCAGCCACAAATAGTAAATACACAGCTTTAGGGTAGTTAACAAATGGAATGCATTAGACAGTGATGTGGTGGAGGCTGACTCCATACACAGTTTCAAGTGGAGATATGATAGAGCCCAGTAGGCTTAGGAACCTGTACACCTGTTGATTAGCAGTTGAGAGGCGGGATCAAGAACCGAAGCTCAACCCCCAGCAAACAACTATGATATAAGCCACACAATTCATTGTTATAACTCGGAAACATTCTGCCCGTCAATTTATAATGTATAAATTTATTATTTATATTTATAAGTCAAATTGATATTAAAATTTTAGCTAAATTGTCTAAAAAGAGTTTTTGAAGTAGTTTAGGAAACCCAAACAGTAAACTTTATGCATAATTCAACAATGGTGATTTGTTGGCCGTTTTGCAGACCTTGAACCTAATTATAATTTTGGTTTCAGTTATCTCGTGTTTTTCTAATGCTGTTTTTTCATAATTTACTTGTTAAAATAATTTGGTTCGTTGAGTATTTGGATGAAAGCAACAGCTGTGGGGGTGTGTGTGAGACAGCTGGCTGGGGGGTGTGTGAGACAGCTGGCTGGGGTGTGTGTGAGACAGCTGGCTGGGGGTGTGTGAGACAGCTGGCTGGGGGGTGTGTGAGACAGCTGGCTGGGGGTGTGTGAGACAGCTGGCTGGGGTGTGTGTGAGACAGCTGGCTGGGGGGTGTGAGAGACAGCTGGCTGGGGTGTGTGTGAGACAGCTGGCTGGGGGTGTGTGAGACAGCTGGCTGGGGTGTGTGAGACAGCTGGCTGGGGTGTGTGGAGAGACAGCTGGCTGGGGTTGTGTGAGACAGCTGGCTGGGGGGTGTGTGAGACAGCTGGCTGGGGGGTGTGAGAGACAGCTGGCTGGGGTGTGTGTGAGACAGCTGGCTGGGGGGTGTGTGAGACAGCTGGCTGGGGGGGTGTGAGAGACAGCTGGCTGGGGTTGTGTGTGAGAGACAGCTGGCTGGGGGGTGTGAGAGACAGCTGGCTGGGGGTGTGTGAGACAGCTGGCTGGGGGGGTGTGTGAGACAGCTGGCTGGGGGTGTGTGTGAGACAGCTGGCTGGGGGTGGTGAGACAGCTGGCTGGGGGTGTGTGTGAGACAGCTGGCTGGGGGTGTGTGAGACAGCTGGCTGGGGGGTGTGTGAGACAGCTGGCTGGGGGGTGTGAGAGACAGCTGGCTGGGGGGTGTGAGAGACAGCTGGCTGGGGGGTGTGTGGAGACAGCTGGCTGGGGTGTGAGAGACAGCTGGCTGGGGTGTGTGTGAGACAGCTGGCTGGGGGTGTGTGAGACAGCTGGCTGGGGGGTGTGAGACAGCTGGCTGGGGGGTGTGTGAGACAGCTGGCTGGGGGTGTGTGAGACAGCTGGCTGGGGGGTGTGTGAGACAGCTGGCTGGGGTGTGTGTGAGACAGCTGGCTGGGGGGTGTGAGAGACAGCTGGCTGGGGGGTGTGTGAGACAGCTGGCTGGGGGTGTGTGTGAGACAGCTGGCTGGGGGGTGTGTGAGACAGCTGGCTGGGGGGTGTGTGAGACACGCTGGCTGGGGGTTGTGTGAGACAGCTGGCTGGGGGGGGTGTGAGACAGCTGGCTGGGGGGTGTGAGAGACAGCTGGCTGGGGGGTGTGTGAGAGACAGCTGGCTGGGGGTGTGTGAGACAGCTGGCTGGGGGGTGTGTGAGACAGCTGGCTGGGGTGTGTGTGAGACAGCTGGCTGGGGTGTGTGTGAGACAGCTGGCTGGGGTGTGTGAGACAGCTGGCTGGGGGGTGTGTGAGACAGCTGGCTGGGGGGTGTGTGAGAACAGCTGGCGGGGGTGTGTGTGAGACAGCTGGCTGGGGGGTGTGTAGGGGATGAGAAACAACTGACTGGGGGTGTATGGGGTGAGGAATGACAGGCTGGGTAAGTGGTGGTGATTGATTACTGTTGAGATGTTGAGATTGTTGAGGTGTTGAGATTGAAGAACGACTGACTGAACGTCTGGGATGATGAAATGAACGTGTATGTGTGTGTGTGTGGGGGGGGGGGAGGTGAGGAACGGTTTGCATGGATTGAACGACTCACTAAGTCCCAACAAAGAAGTAGCTTAACACTACAATAATCATATGCAGGCGACAATCGACTTGAGAATGGTCCAGGACGGACCGAAACGTCGTCGTCGTCGTCCCTTCACCTTCTAGTGTGTGTGTGGTCTGGTCAACTTACACTAAGCCATAATTCCAGCTGGATATCTTACGCTTTTCTCCCCCCCTGCAAATCAGACCAAGACGGTCTCAATATCACTATAGAATATCCTGCTCGAGAAATATCACGACCGTATCCCGTTTTCTTCATTAATAAGACGTAGTGAAGCCGTAAATCAACTTGTAGCGGACGCAAGAGTACACACACACACACACACGGAGAATAGTTATCAGTCAAGAGCTCTATTCATAAACTGGAGTTCAAGAGTTCGAGGCTAGTAGACTGTGTTAAGAGTTATCATGTTATCATGACTAGGGGGTGAGAGCGAGGTACTTTAAGGCTGCTTATTTGGGGCTAGGGCTATTCTAGGAATATTTATTTGTTAAGACATTTTATGTAAATATCCTGAGGCCTTATTTTCTCATCTCAGCGGCTTGATTAAATGTACTCAATTCACCCTTAAATTGTGTAGATTTAGCTTTGTTCATCATCGAGATGTACACGATTACGAAAAAATCAGATATGGGGGAAAAAATTGCACAATGTGAAGATTTGATGCCATGATAAGTCAGCGCCACAGAAATGGGGGTACAGTGCTATTCTGTGTCTCATAAGTCAGCGCCACAGAAATGGGGGTACAGTGCTATTCTGTGTCTCATAAGTCAGCGCCACAGAATGGGGGTACAGTGCTATTCTGGTGTCTCATAAGTCAGCGCCACAGAAATGGGGTACAGTGCTATTCTGTGTCTCATAAGTCAGCGCCACAGAAATGGGGGTACAGTGCTATTCTGTGTCTCATAAGTCAGCGCCACAGAAATGGGGGTACAGTGCTATTCTGTGTCTCATAAGTCAGCGCCACAGAAATGGGGGTACAGTGCTATTCTGTGTCTCACACATGAAGGGATGGCACTGTAGTATATATGTCTCTCACTCATGGGGGACACTGTACGCTCTCCCATGCTCTTAATAACGAACACAATGAGATAATTAATTGCAATTATAACTCGGCTCCCATGTGAGTTAGTTTAACAGGTTGCCCGCTGGGACTTGGAGCTGTACAAATAAGTAAGATATGCGGGGAAATTACAGGGTCGCCTTCTTGGCTGTTTAGGGAGGGAATGAGGGAGGGGTATGCTTGGTGGGGGAGGGAGGGAGGTAGAGAGGGGAAGATGGGGCTAGGGAGGGAGGGGAGGGAAAGAGTTCATGGTCATTTATGTCAGTGATCTCTGTCTTTGGCTTTGTTTTGATATTATTTGCCTCTCTTGTGTTTCTATTAATTTTTTTCCTTTCTTCCCCCTTTCTCTACAAACGTTTCTCCACGTCTTTCTCTCTCTCTCTCCCCTCCTTTCTCTACGTCTTTCTTAGAAACGTTTAAGGGAACTTGTGACGTAAATATTACACTGCAAAGAATGCATCAGACAACTGATTTATTTTCTAAGGAATGATAGACTGCAATTAATTCCATCCATCAGTGGTATTAAGTCACCGTGATGGACTATAAGAACCAGTGTCATATGAGGCGATATAACAAGAAATAATGCATTTGAGAAGGGTCACGCTAACAGTCATAGCCTACTGGAACAAACTATATATATATATATACTTTCCAGGGACCACCCTTAAACGGTTGGTATTTCTGATCGTGCAGAATATATCTGTATACCAGGCAAGGTATACTGGCGGTAATATTATACCTAGAGCCTACTACAACAGCCTGTGGAAAATAGTCGTAGGTCTGACTATCTAGGTAGCAACAGGGAGCAGTTTTATGGATTATTAAAAAGGATTTTGTGTATTTTTTTTTAATATTTTGCATTTGCATAATTTAGAATTCTTTAGATAGGTTTGTTGTTGTTAAAGATTCGCTGCCTGGATCAAAAAAGTCCAAGCAGCACGGGCTATGGTGAGCCCGTAGTAGGGGTTATTAGATCGGTTATGCGATGTCAATAAATACAATTTGTGTAACTGCGTGATGTTGTCTCTTGCGTGTTGTATTTCTGGCCTTTCTGCTGGAAGGAGTAGAGAGGAGGGAGAGAACCTTCTGCTTCTCTACCCCTCATCTCTCACCTGCCAGAGGAAGAGTGAGACATGTAGAAGCATTCTACAGCTGGACTGGAAGAATTCAACTTTTTCATAGACCAAAAATCTCGTTTTCTGTTGTTCCTGTGTATTCTCTCCTGTGGGGTGGTGGTGGGGTGACAAATCTATTACAAATTCCAAGTTTTACAACAATCTTTTATTATCAGAATAAGTATTGTTACAAAGTGTTTATAAGAGAAATAGAAAAAGAAATTCTTTCTATATACAGACTAGTTGTTTTCTCTAATAAATTACAATTATCTTACACATCATTTGGGAGGTTTTGTACAGTATTTACAATATAGTCAGTATTTGGCCACATGGTATGCTCTTCACGGCATACCAACTCTTCAAACACATCTATGGTATAAGCATTAAGAAAATAGTAATTTCAGTACGAAAGACGTCTAATTACAAGTGTTCATCTTCTCTCTATAAAAACACACACACACACTCTCTCTCTCACACACACACACACTCTCACACACACACACACACACACACACACACACACACACACACACACACACACATGCGCACATGAGCGCGAGATCTTCAGGGACAGAGATGCTGGCACACACCAAGTGTTCCTATACCACACATACTGGAGATGAACCAGACGAGCCGTTTAGCATCCTTGTGTTTACACACGAGATTCACTCCCCCCCCCCCCACCCCCCTTCCTCTCGCCGCGGGTCCTGGCGTCGCTCTAGTACACTTGAAAGTTCAGCACACTACACCACTTTAACACCAGACGAACACATTAAGGTATCAACTTGTTCTGCGTTCCCTGTTCATTGTAGATGGGAGTGTACTCCCTCGGCGTGTAGATTTCCTGCATTTCCTGGAGGCCGCGACCTTTCGTTTCCGGGACCAGTGCCACGGTGAAGACCAGGCCGACCAGCGAGATCCCCGCGTAGAGCCAGAAGGCTCCATAGAGCCCCAATAGCAACTGGAAGTCTACGAAGGTCTTCACACTGGCGAAGGAACAGGCGTAACTGACGGAATTGGCGATGGCGCCTAAACCCCGGTGCTTCAGCGGGAACAATTCGCCGATGTAAATCCAGGCGATGGGTGAGATTCCCAGAGCATACGCCACCTGGAATATTAAGGCGCAGGTGAGAGGAATCCAGTCTAAACCCGGCCCTGCCCCGCCACCGATGCTGCCCGTGACGTACAGGAAGGTACCGAAGCCTGCTAGCGCCGTCGACATCAGCAGATTCGACACTATCAACAGCGGGAGTCGACCTACAGTGTCGATCAGGACCGACGACACCATCCCCGCGAGGATCTGCAGGAGGCCGACAACCACAGCGGCGCTGTAAGGGTTGATCCCAGCGAAGGCTTCGGTCAGGATCGGTACGGCGTAGAAATTAAAGGCATTGGCGCCGCTGAATTTCTGGAAGACCATGAGGCCGCAGGTGATGAGGACGGGCTTGATGAGATCGCGGCGCCATTCCCGGTAGCATGTGACCTCCGTGTTCTCCCGCATGGCCTCGATGTTGGCCCTCATGGTGTCCAGCTCCTGCGTGACGTCCAGTCCTCCTCGCAGCCAGGAGAGAGACGTCGCGGCGTCGTCTTCGCGGCCGCGATACAGCAGGTAACTGGGCGTCTCGGGAATGAGCATGAGGGCCAGGAAGAGCAGCGCCGGGGCGATGGAGGCCACCATAGCCAGTTGGCGCCAGTCGAGGTACACGCCCAGTAGGAAAGAGAGAAGCATGCCTACATTAGCCGTAAGCTTAGCTACGGAGCAGAGACAGCCACGGATTTCCGGATGGGCGATTTCGCTGATGTAGACGGGAGTGACCAGCGACACCACCGCTGACCATATGCCACACAGGAAGGAAGAAGCGTAGACCATATACACACTCGAGGCGAAGACCGTTAGCAGCCAAGAGAGGGCGAAAGGTAGAGACACGACGGCTAGTACGCTCTTCCTTCCTAGCCTCATGGCCAGTCCTCCAGGGATGCCGCCGAAGAAGGCTCCCAGGAGCGAGAGGGAAGCGATCCACGACCCCTGTTCTTGCGTGATGGAGAAGTCGTGAGAGTGAGAGCTGTTCGTGGAGGAGGGAATTTGCATGGAGGCGAGGGCTGGGGAGGAGTAGCCCTTGCCCAGACCCGTTGCCAAGGGGCCCAGAGCTACGATCATTGTCGCCACAACCTGTAACGAGGAGAAAGGTATTTGTTTAGTGGATGTCTAGACATGAATCATACGTGTAGCATTACACCCAACAGTATTAAGTCAACGGACAATGTCAATAGGCAAAGTACACACACACAGGCGCCGGTGGCTGTGTGGACAGCACGCTGGGCGCTTAATCCTGTGGTCCGGGTTCGATTCCCGGCGCTGGCGAGAAACGAAATGGGTAGTTTCTTTCGTCCCTGATCCCTGATGCCCCCTGTTATCTAACAGTAAATAGGTACCTGGGAGTTAGACAGCTGTTACGGGCTGCTTCCTCTGTGTGTACTCACCTATTTGTACTCACCTGTTTGTGCTTGCGGGGGTTGAGCTTTGGCTCTTTGGTCCCGCCTCTCAACTGTCAATCAACTGGTGTACAGATTCCTGTGTGTGTGTGTGTGTGTGTGTGTGTGTGTGTGTGTGTGTGTGTGTGTGTGTGTGTGTGTGCGTGCGTGTGCGCGCGCGCGTGTGTGTGCGTGTGTGTGTGTGTGAGAAAAAAAAATTAGCAGTAGTTAGCAACAGTTAATTGATTGACAGTTGAGAGGCGGGCCGAAAGAGCAGAGCTCAATCCCCGCAAGCACAAATAGGTGAATATACACACACACACCCACACCCCCACACACAACACCCCACCCCACACACACACTCCACCCCACACACACACACCCCCACCCACACCACACACCCCCACCCACCACACACACACACCCCCCACACACACACCCCACACACACACACACCCCCCACACACACACACACCCCACACCCACATACACACACACACACACACACAACACACCCCACACACACACACACACACACCACCACACACACCCCACACACACCCCCACCCACACAGCAGAAGCTACAATAAACGAGCCCTTGCAAGAACAGAGGAGGACAATAGACAGCAGCAACCATCCATCGTCACAGCACAACCTTCCTAGAGAGTCATTGTCCCATGTGAGTGATGCCACACCCTGGGCCAGGCGCTGACGAGACCCACCTCATCACACAAGGACATCTGAGATCAACCAGCTAATGGGCGCAGTTTCTATTGAGTGAAGGGTCTGAGCTTGTTGAACAACAACAACAACATGTATCCATAATGATTTGAACCAGAGAAACAGCAGTTAAATTAATGACTTTTTAACAAATGTAAGTTAGGGATGTGTTGAGAGTCATTAAAGGTAATGGATCTGCTAAGAGGTACTCTGTGGGTTTAAGAGGCACTGTTTGCTTGGGAGCCGTTGAGTTTAAGAGGCCATATAGGCTAGGGGATCTGTTACCCTTAAGAGACATTAGGAAAGGAATCTGCTCTACAATAAAGGAAAAATTAATGTTTTGGATGGTAGTGTTACCTGAAATTATCCAAATTTGTCGAAAAGGCATCTAGATAGATATATAGGTAGCCCCCGTTCCCTCAACCCCCTTCGGTTGAAGGAAGGGGGAAGAGGACGCAACCTACCTATTCTACCTTAGGCAGATCCTGCCCCAAGGGCTGAATAACCCGATGGAAAACACACACAAAATGGATACAGAAATAACGTTAAACAGAAAACGACATACAGACAAGAACACAGAACATAGCACAGAGGAGGAGAGTACATGGCTATGTATGCAGGCGATGAGTCACAATAACGTGGCTAAAGTAAGTTGACCAGACCACACACTAGAAGGTGAAGGGACGACGACGACGTTTCGGTCCGTCCTGGACCATTCTCAAGTCGATTGTCGACTTGGACTACAATCGACTTGAGAATGGTCCAGGACGGACCGAAACGTCGTCGTCCCTTCACCTTCTAGTGTGTGGTCTGGTCAAAATGGCTATGTATAAACAGATACAGTATATAAGCTCTAGAAAGGCTAAGAATATATTCACTGACGGTTATACCTGGTTCTGAGCGTGCATGCACTGTAAGGTATACCCCCGGTGTTTCCCCCCGGTATACCCCCGGTGTATACCCCCGGTGTATTCCCCCCAGTATAAACACCTTGTGGGTCATACCTGCGTTAATCGCTGAGGCCGGTTGCTGTAGATGAGGCTGAGGGTCGAGCTGGCCATCCTGCGAGGAAGGGAGAAGCCTTCTGCAACAGGAAGAATGCACACTGTTAGTAAATGTGTAAGATACGGAGTGGTGTGTGTGTGTGTGTGTGTGTGTGTGTGTGTGTGTGTGTGTGTGTGTGTGTGTGTTGTAGAGATAACAGATAACAGATGACGCTGTAAAATAAATGTACCTTTCAAAAAGATTTTACTTGTGTGATTTTAACCATGAACTTTTATGTGGGGGGGGGGGTTATTTTTAAAGTGTTCGACAGCTTTATACGTTCCCGTGACTCATCTCTATCTCTGTGTCTCTCTATCCCTCTGTCTCTCTATCCCTCTGTCTCTCTATCCCTCTGTCTCTCTCTCTGTCTCTCTGTCTCTCTGTCTATCTCTCTGTCTATCCCTCTGTCTCTCTATCTCTCTGTCTCTCTATCTCTCTATCTCTGTCTCTCTATCTCTCTGTCTCTCTGTTTCTCTGTCTCTCTATCCCTCTGTCTCTCTGTCTCTCTCTCACACCCTCACAGTGCTCCGAAGCTCATACACAGTTTAATCAATGTAAATAAAGCCGACATAATTGAGAAAAAAGATGTACGGGTTTCGTTACTTGTTGCAGTAAACACGTCATTGATGCCTGGTTCCCGGCCAAATCCCCCGCAGTCGACGTTGATGTAACACTAAATCGACTTGATGAAGTTAATGTTTGGTTGACTTCGCTATATCGAACCCATCTTGGGAGACTGAATCTTCCTTCCCCAAAAGCTTCCGACAATTAGCTCTGCTCTGAGAAGTGATCAACCAGTCTATAGATCTCTGCTACGAGCCTCACGTGCCGCTCCTGTGCCAGGTAAGTCCACTACGGGATCACCATAGCCCGTGCTACTTGGAGGTGCTTCCGGGGCTTAGTGTCCCCGCGGCCCGGTCGTCGAGCAGGCCTCCTGGTTGCTGGACTGATCAACCAGGCTGTTAGACGCGGCTGCTCGCAGCCTGACGTATGAGTCACAGCCTGGTTGATCAGCTATAACAACAACAGCCCGTCGTGTTCAGTCGTCCAGTACTCTTCTAATGGTTTACCTTTGAGCGTTATGCTATAGTTCCCGTCATAAAGTCTCCTTCTGTTCATTGTTCTCTGTTCATGAATTGTTCACCTTTTTGTGTTTTTTCTTGATCACCGAATGTTGCATTCTGTGATTTCTTCGTTCATTCATTTCCTTCGTCTATTCTATCTTGCCCAACCACTTGGGGTGGACGGTAGAGCGACGGTTTCGCTTCATGCAGGTCGGCGTTCAATCCCCGACCGTCCATAATTGGTTGGACACCATTCCTTTTCCCCCGTCCCAAATCCTTATCCTTTCTAAGTGCTATTTAGTCGTTAATGGCTTGGTGCTTTACCCTTGATCATTTCTTTCCTTGCTATTAAACCCTAAAGTTCAGCTACTTAGACTTCGAAATGCATTCCTGTGAGACACTTTAAGGACCGAACCACTTCGTTCTCACAGGTTGAACTTAATGCAACTTATGAACAAAACCTGTCAATGGACAGGTGTAGTAGGACCTGTCAGAAAGAACAGGTGTAATAATGTCTGTGGGACAACAGGTGCAACAGTACCTGTCTGTGAGACAACAGGTATGTACCTTGAGGTTACCTTGAGGTGCTTCCGGGGCTTAGCGTCCCCGCGGCCCGGTCGTCGACCAGGCCTCCTGGTTGCCGTTCTGATCAACCAGGCTGTTGGAAGCGGCTGCTCGCAGCCTGACGTACGAGTCACAACCTGGTTGATCAGGTATCCTTTGGAGGTGCTTATCCAGTTCTCTCTTGAACACTGTGAGGGGTCGGCCAGTTATGCCCCTTATGTGTAGTGGTGATCATGTGATCATATGCACTATTCATGACAAGGTGATTCCTCCTCCTGTAACAACTTCACAAACAAACAAAAACAATCACAAACACACACACATAATTTCTCATGAACAAACACACACACACACACACACACACACACACACACACACACACACACACACACACACACACACACACACACACACACAACAATATACACCATCAACATGGAGTAGGGAGCCGGTCGGCCGAGCGGACAGCACACTGGACTTGTGATCCTGTGGTCCCGGGTTCGATCCCAGGCGCCGGCGAGAAACAATGGGCAAAGTTTCTTTCATCCTATGCCCCTGTTACCTAGCAGTAAAATAGGTAGCTGGGTGTTAGTCAGCTGTCACGGGCTGCTTCCTGGGGGTGGAGGCCTAGTCGAGAACCGGGCCGCGGGGACACTAAAGCCCCGAAATCATCTCAAGATAACCCAGAGAGAACAGGAACAGCGTCACTTGACTGACGTTGACACACTACTGTCTATTCTTGACAAAGGTGACTGACTGACCTGTCTGATCTGAACCCAGATCTAAATGCCGTACGACTGGCTCACTCAGTCACTCCGACTGTGTATGGGGTACAAGTGACAGGATGAACAACCCAGCGGGGTTTTCTTCCTATTGGGGACTGTTGTACAGGGACGTTAGAAAGAACTTTTTCAGCGT